CTGGCCCTGCCGCTCGGGACAGGCATCATAAGCTAGAATCTATAGAAACCCGTCACAGATCGGAAGCAATGACAGTCCTTCTTGCCCGGACTTTCAGGCTCTTCTTCCAGCTCTCTTTGGGCCTGCCGCTCGAGACAAGGCAACAAGAGCTGGATATACTTCACAAATCCAAATCAATGACAGTCCTTCTTGTCTCTGAATGCACGTGAGGGCTGCCCTTCGTCTGAGGATTCTGAGGGCAGTGCGGTGAGCAACGGAATGAGATCATATACAGCAACGGTCATAGCCAAAAAGAATCAAAGGCTCACATGAGCGCAGTAAGGCACTGCCTCAAAGACTCAGCGGTGCTATGCGGCGCTCGCAAGCGCGTAGAAATCTATAGCGGCCACAGACCCCTCCGCAAACGTGCACACTGACGTAAGCGGTAGACCACACCTCGCCCTGTATGGCGTTCTTCAGGTCACGGACACACCTACGAAGATCTACGAAGAAGGAACCTCGATCAGTGATCAGTCGGGGTTTGGCCTCGGAGGTGCTGGCTGCCGGTGCTCAGTAGGCGGTGAGGAGAACCGCGAGGGAGAGTGGAACGGAGGCGGGCGGTACAGCGCAGGCTCTTCGAAGAGAAACGCAACCGAGAGCATCCTACGGCACGAACTGGCAGCATGCAGCTGAGCTGCACGCTGGAACGCCACGGCGAACTACAGGGCAGCACGCGGATCGCCCTGTTGCACGCCCCGCCGGCGGACTGAAGCACGGAGCCGCCGAATTGCAGGAAGGACTGTCTTGTGGTAACACCAGGTCGCCCACCTCGCCAAGCCAAGGAACTGGGCCGCGCAGACGTTCAGGAGATGCTGCCGGGAGATCAGGTTGAACGTGTTGCTGAAGTCAAGCTTGAGCAGGATGTGGTCCTGGGCATCAGGATGGCGCTCTAGCGGTGCTTTGTGCGACGCATTCAGCTCCGCTCTCCATGCCACTCGCAAGAAGGCCCACCGCGGCATTGATGCGGGAGGGCAAGCCTCCTGCGGGGCGGCAGGAAAGCTGCGCAGAAACTTGGCCACCGAGTCAGGGGTTGGCGGGAGGAGCAGGAGGACCTGTGTAGCGCGGATCGCCGCGGACGGCCAATGCGAGGTCTCGACAGACACGCTGAGCCCGCATAGGGGGCAACGCTGCAAGCGCAGGCTCGACATCCGTTCTTCCGGGGCGAGGTGCCCGCCAGGGCCCCGGCGAGGTGCGAGTTCACATGGTGGCGCAAAGTGTCGGCAGTGTTCGTCCAACCGCGGGCCCGGGCGGGGTCAGCGCAAGGGCAGTTGGCTACAGGGCAGAATAATCGGGCGGAATAGTAGTCGACAGCCATGGGTGCAGCATGGTGCAGCGAGGTCCGGCAAGTTCCCTGGGGGGCGTCGCGCTGGGCGCTCCCTCACTCACGGGAGTCCCAGGCTGCCCTATGGCTCAGGGCGTGCAAGAATGAAAGTGGCGTTACAGCGGTGGGGATGCAAGCAAAGTAGGGCTCTGAACTCCAAGCATGCTGAACCCTGCCTTGAACCAGAGCAACATCTCTTGAGCCAACTTGTCTGGACTTTCAGGCTCTTCCAGCCCTTCC